CCACAGCCAGGAATGCCGTGCCCGCGGTGGCTGAAGGACAAGCCTCTCTCGATAAAGGAGAGGCCGACGCAGGAACAGGGGAGATCATCCATCAGGTGTGCCGCGCCCGCGTCACCAATTGCCGCGCCCGTGGTGATTAGCGGAGATCCCTCTCTCAGGGCGCGGCCAGCCATCTGCAGGTTCCTGGAAATTTTTCTAGACTCGCGCCCGTGGCTTCCTCCTCCATGCCCACGGCTACTGGGATTACTGCGCACCCTCTCTAAAGTGCCATCTCTCCCTCTTCTTGGCCAACATAGCTTGTCATCTTTCTTCCAAGAGCACTAAAAACCTATAAAACAAAGACAAAAATGCTAGAAAACACAAGAAGAGATAAAAGATAAGGAAAAACACGAGAGGAAGCAAATATAACCAAAATAAGGGTAAAAACAACTAGAGAAGGCACAAACAAGTGACAAATGAAGGTAAATCCTCCCTAAAGAGGGGTAAAATAGTGGAATAAATGCCACTCATCACTTATGCTTAGTTCGAAGAGGGATTTATTTATTTATTTATTTTTATTTTTAATGAAATGCAATGCAATGAAATGATCATATGCAAGGAAATAAATGCTCATTTTATTGAATTGGTAAGGGTAAAAACAAACTCATGAACTAAATGATGGAAGGTGATATGGGGTGCCTATCCTAGACATTATTGAGGGAAAGGGACATCAAGTATAAGAAAAGATTGTCGTTGAAGCCCGCTTCGTGTTTTGTGTTTCATCTTTGTCAATCACATGACTCGAACTCGATTCAACATGCATAGATAGGGAAAGATCATAGTGTATGAGGGGAATGATATGTATGCGAAATCATTAAAGAGGAGAGAATGTGGAAAGTGTGAGGTATGTAATTTATAGAAAGTGATGTAAAGGGAAAGAGTGTATTTGTGGAAAGATATGGAAAAAAATCCGGGAATAGGAAAGACCCTCAACTCAAATGACGGAAATGATGACTCATGCATGGACCTAAGGCATGGTCATGGTGTGAAAAAAGAGTATGTACAAAGTGTGTTCAAAGACTCTTGAGTGTAAGTGTTATTTACAAGACTGTGTCATTACCATGTGACTATAAATGAGAACGGTCTGAAAAAATGAAGAACTCAAGGACCAAATAGCCTGAAGACTAAAAGATAGACAAAATAACTTGATTAATTTTGTCCAATTTTAATGTTTGTGCTATTTACTAGGTGAAAGAAATCCACTGGCAAACATCAGTCATAAATAAGATAAAATCAACCACAATCAAAGACAAAGAATACATGTTAAGCTTAGCACAATAATCACAAAAGACTAGGAAGATGGACTAGAATTCTACAATAGGTAGACTCATGGTTTGACCAAGACACGAAGGATAAAAATAAAATGGATAGGAATAAAATGGATAGGAAATGTGAGATAAAATAAATGAGATGATAAAATTAAAAAAAAAAGGACAAAAATCTAAAAAATCTAAAAAAGAAAAAAGGACTAGAATGTGACTCTAAAGGGTGGAAAAAAGATAGTAGAAAGATAGGAATATGGAATGAAGAAGGACTCTTAAGATATAACAATTAGAATAGGAGTAGTATTCTAACATTCTATCTTTTAAGAGTTTGACATGGAATAGGTTTCTAAGGGAATTAAGACTCATGAGTAAAAATAAGTTAATTAATTTAAAATCTTATCTCATTAGAGTTTAACATAACTTAGATTTCTAAATAGTAGAAGATTGGTTATGACTCAAATATAGACAAAATTAACACAAAAAGATAAAAAAAAGTTACCCTCCAACACTAAAGATAGAATTCCTAAATTGGACAGGCTATAGTATTTCAATCATAACGTTTTATCTATGACTCCGAATTGGACGAAACTAACGCCAAATGAAAGATAAAATTCGGGGCTACAGATCCACAGGTGGAACAACACGTAACTCAATCTAGAACTCCGGATATGACCAAAACAAAGTGACGCTTATACAATATACGAGAATAAAAAATTCGCGTTAACTCAAATAAATAAAAAAACAGGAACTATGATTCGACTTTAAAAAAAAAAAAAGAGGGTTAAATAAGAGAAAAAAAGGAATAGGAAATCCAATAAAAATATGCACACATAAGCACATTGTCACGCATGATGCAATGATTTTGCAACCTAACCATGGCTCTAGTTCTCCAAGGTCAAGGATTATGGTGTCTAAGAGTGTCCATGGTTAAGAATTTGGATGCATCGCGTGAAAACCTTATCTTAGAAGGGTTGGCACGATGGACAGGACCCCACGAGTTAAACTCAACTCCATGGTTTAGTGAATTCAACAAACTCGGGTGCACCCATTATTGCACGGAGCGTTTATTAGGCTGGACGGAGCGTGAATTCTTTAGACACCAACATGTGGCCTCCTGTCTAGATGGGAAGAACGATGATGTTACAAAAATTTGTTCTTTATCCTAGATCAAAGTTGAAGTGTTTATGGACTCCGAAATGCATTATGAAGTAAGTTAAAACCCGTATTTGAGACCAAATTATCTTAGAGCCTAGTCTGATTACTAATTAGGCCTAAAAAAAGCTCAAACGCGTTTAATTTTGATTATTAACGGACCTAAATGCGTCATATGCAATGATTAGATCAAATGGATCATACATTGTTAAAAAATAGAGCCAACCAGACATTTAACCACCCAATATCCGTTCATGGCCTATAAAAATGGATGTCTATTTCAAAGAGCTTTCCAACGGTATATTATAAGCCCAATTCAGAGTTAAAACGAAGAAGTTATCATCAAAATAGAGCCCTAAAACCAACATCCTTGCACTTAAACGACCATATCTTTTGATCCATAACATATTTTAACCTAATTCCAACTGCATTAGAAAGTAGACATTCAGAGATTTCCAATGATATCTTATTTTTCTTAATCCGACTTTGCAATCAAATGTTATTGAAGTTTTAAAACCCATTTTCGTATAAGGCAAACCGCACCGCGCGCAACTCTCAAAGTAGCGCGCGCCTGCTGCACGCAAGTCTTAGAGTTGTGCGCGGCAATCCAGCGCGAATTTGAGAGTTGCACATGCCACCTGACGTCGTGGATCTAAAACCTTAAACCTAGATTCTTACGTATATAAATAGGGGTCTTCGTTTAGCCCTAAAGACAACATAAAATCAGAATTAAAAAACCCTAGAAATTTAAAACCCTAATCACTCAAATTCTCTTACTATCGTACTACTTTTCTCCTTTCTTCTTGAATACTCATCAACCCTAATCCATCCATTTGAAGTCCTTGGAGGTAGGAAGAAGAAAAAAGGTCCATAAACATATAAAACAGAGATCTAAGCAAGTAAAGAAGAATGGTCAGTTTCCTAAGCACTTAGATAAATCACTTTCTTTTCTTGTCCTAAATAACTTTAATTAATTATTTAATTAGTGTTGTTTGATCACTTTAAATAAATTTTAATTAATTAATTAATTTCATATAGTATCATGCATTAAACAAGACTAAAATTGGACAAATTAATTGATTGTTGGGATATTTTCAACGGTAACCCCCAACTTCTGCTACGCACCAACGATAACCCCCTTTTTTTTGGATTATACAAAATGACCTTAGTTAAAAATTTCATCCCATTCATAACCTTATTTCATTAAATATTAACAATGGTTATATTTATACATTTTTTCAAAAAAGAAAAATTAAAAAAAATTAATCCCAACTCCCAATCCCCCATTGATTCCGGCCAACCTCTCCTCCTTCCCCTCACTTTCCACCGTTCCGGCCAGCCCACTCCCCAACCACCTCTTTGCCGCCCTCCCCCAACCACCTCCTTGCCACCCTCCCCCCAAACACCTCCTTGCTGCCCACAGCCACCCCAAACCACCAACCCGATAGTAAAATTAGGCAAAGTATAACTCTGAAAACCTCCATTCACAACTTCAATATCTTGTGACATGAAAGATGGCATTACAACTGGGAGAGGGAGGGTGAAAGATTTTCTAATTGAAGGGTTCCACAAGATCAAAGGAGCAACACGATAAGATAAATAATCAAACACACAAATTAACCCATGACAACAACCAACCATCAAGCCCATACATCAAACAGGAGAATCAATTTCTACCCAATTATCTCATGGTTCATCAAAATTATGCAAAAAAAATTACAAGGAACACTATATAGTGTAGTAACAACATTTTTGGAGGAAGGGTTTAATTGATGCCATAAATGAAGAGAAATAAAAGATGGGTTTGTGATTAGAGAATACCATGATTTGCAAACAGACATGAATCGGAGTAATGATGCTACTGGTAGGCGTTTGAGGATTTCCAATACCAATTCTTCGGGTAAATTCGGGTTTGATCTTGGGAAATTTCTTCTGTGATAAACCAGAAGATTTAAAGGGAGTTTACTAATTTGATTATGGAATTCATGGATCTGAATTTTGTGTCGTTCAGCCATTATCGAGAGCAACTCTAAATCAAGATTTTTTAGTTTTTAAGTTCAAACAGAAAACTGAACAGAGTGTATAAGATGCTGAGAGTTTCATGGTTGACAAAGTTAGATCTGGTGAAGATGAGGGTGGAGGTGGTGGCTAGGTTAGTGGTTTTTAGTTTTTTTTTTTCTTTCAAAGTTATCCATAGTTAGTTTTTTTTTTTTTTTAATAAATAACACTCATTAATGTTATATGTGAGACAAATTTCTTAATTAGGATCATTTTGTATAATCCAAAAAAAAGGGGTTACCGTTGGTGCGTAGCAGAAGTTGGGGGTTACCATTGAGAATATCCCTTGATTGTTTTATCAACTAAACCAAGGCAAATCTTGTTATTATTGTTGTTTCACGAATTTGGAATAAATAACACTAACAACATTCATTCAATGTAATCTTTATGTGATTGACGCGTGTAAATAAAATCAACTAATTTAGTTTTAGGTACCACGTTGCATATATTGTTTGGTGATGACACTAGTAGAAAAAATGAAAAAGGCACCCCCCATTTTCGCACCGGTTCTTAAAAACCGGTAGGAAAAAAATTGGGCGGGATTTGAATAATTACTTTTCGCACCGGTTCCTTTTAAACCGGTGCCGAATCTTGGTTTTCGCATCGGTTTGAACCGGTGCTAAATGTTTTATTAAAAAAAAAAAGAGGGAAAGAGGGATTTCGCACTGGTTCAGCCCAAACCGGTGGGAAAATTTATTTACAACCGGTTCGAACCGGTGCTGTAAATTAAAAAAAAAAAACTACTTAATCGTGAAATTCGATCTTCTTCTTCCTTCAATTCAGTTTTCATTCCCCTTTTAGCTTTTCCACATTCAATTCGCACCCCCTTCGTTGTCGCCTACCTTCCCCATAGCTGTACGTCCTCTATCGAAGCGCATTCTGGGCTTTCTCACCTCCATTGCCGCAACTCGTCTCTTTCTCTCCATACCTCTCCTCCATTGAAGCGCATTCTATTGAGCTTTTCACCTCCATTGAAGCGCATTCTGAGCTTTCCAACTCCATTGTAGCAGCTTCGAGGTAAGATTTATTTCGTGGTCTTCCTAATCTATTGAATTCCTTCGCAATCTAGGGTTAGTCGTTGATTTAGGGTTTTCTGTTCTTTGTGGTTTGCTGTTGTGACTTTAATTTCGAGTTGTGCATTCAACAATAGTAAATTGTTTTAGGGTTTTGATTGTTGCTGTTGTTTATGAACTTGATGGTTCTCGTTTGCGCATTTGTTTATGAACTTGATGGTTCTCAATGCTACCTGTGCAGCACTACAAAGATTAACCATAGTTAGGCTTTCCAAAGGTAAATTGCACATGAGCTCACTGTGTTGAAGGCTTGAAGCCCAGATTACCATTAATATGGTTTCATAAACTTCAATGTGCTCTATTTTTTCTTCTCTCAAAATTGATTTGGAGCTAAAAAGTTAAAACAATATTCATGTGAATAATGCTCTTGGTAGTTAGACCTTTTTTCTGAAAAAGAAGAATCCCCTTCTGCATTTGCATGATTACTAAATTTTTTCATGCATATAGTTATTCTGAACAAATTTTGACAGCCGAAATGCATATACTAAAGACTAGTGTATCGTTTTAATATCTTCTAAAAGTATCTTTGCTAACTCGGTAAGTAGTAGTATACCCTCTATGGCTATTGCCATCTCTAATCAGGAAAAGCTTTAGATAAATTAGTACTTGATTCTTGTATGGATTAGATTTCCTTCATGGTATTTCTTCCTTCGATATCTCGTTTTTATGGTAATTCATCCTTCGTAAGCAATAGTATACCCTATATCATACATCTATACAAGCTTTAAATGTTACACAAAGTCATGCTCAGCTTTAAGTTTGGTTAATCCCTGGCTAGAAGGTCCCTATGACTTTTATTTTTCCTTACTTTATACAGAGTACTTCGTATACAATATAAAAATATAATCATTTGAGCTAATCTATTACATGATCTTTTGCAGTGATAAATATACGAGCATATGCATCCTGGGATAGCTTCTCTCTTTATCTGGTTTGGCAAGGTATTGTAGCCTGCAGTAATGGCAAATGATCAAATTTCAATTACTTTTAAAAATCTTAAATGAACAAATAGTTTAAAATTATGATGATACTTTTGCTTGCATTAGAAAATAAATTTAATTGCTTGGAAACTCATGATTATGAATAGTCACACCTCTTTATATATTAGCTCACCGTTCTCTTCAATTCATTGCTCTTCTTGCTCGTCTTCCAAATAGCTTCCCAGAAAATTGAATAGTTGCCAGCTCCATCCTATGAGCTAATTTAGCTAGCCATAAGGGTATAAATAACTGATTCCAATGTATTATCAGGTTAATAGTCTTTAGCATTAGTATAAATAGAGTGAGGGGAGAAAGGAGAAAGAGGCAAAAAATTTGGAATCAACAATTAACTTCAGGCAACAATTAACTGAATCAACTTATTCCCCATTTTGTTGTCTGGCATTTATAGCAGATATGGTCGACTTCATATATTTTTATCAGTTTACTCAACATTTAATTCTGTGATGATAGTTATACCATCTAATATGCTACGTAATTGACAGCAATGTCTACGTAATTGCCTGATACAATTGTTTTGTTTTTTTTTTTTCCTGATTTTTTTCCTCTAGGTGAAACTACTCCAAATATGCAGACCTCAACAATTATGGAAGCTAGGAAACGATAAGATTTTCAAGTGTGACCGATCCCTCTCTACTCGGGGAAGCAGGGGAGCTTGAAATACGCATCAAACTTGATCCAGATAATGGGACCATCACGATTAGGTATGCATTCATTCCGTCGATATGCTGCAATTTCATTAATTATCGAATTCTGAGTTTCTATGTATCTCAATCTTTAAGGATACTGGTAATTGGAATGACAAAAGAGGAGCTTATTGATTGTTTGGGAACTATTGCACAGAGTGGCACTTCTAAGTTCTTAAAAGCATTGAAGGTACTCGAAACCTTTCTTGTGATATAGTCGTATGTTTTAATTAAAGTAGTCTTGTTTTTTCTAGAAACAATCTGAGCTTGTCAGTGTAAGGTTTTTTGAATTGAGAAGAGAATATGTGATGATTGATAAGAAACTGATGGGATGAACCCTCAATCGTCAATAACTGTATGCTAGCTCAAAAACGTGTACTCTGTTGTCATTTGAGTTTTCTTTCTATATGATTAGTTCCATATTGTTCATGGAATAGTTATAGTGGTTGGATTTTTTTCATTTTTACATGTTTGCTAGCTCTGTAGAATTATTGATGATAAAACTTGTATGCTATTGATGTTATGTTAGTCTCTTTACCTCTACATTTTTGTACCAGTTGAATTCGGTGCAATGGTCAATTTGCAGTTTAAAATAAGAAGGTAAAATAGGCCAGGTTTTTGTTGGTTAGTTTGTAATTTGGTTTTACATGATACCTTGAGAAATATGAAGAGTATGCCCATCTTCTAGGGTTTTGTTAGTTTAGAATTTTCAATATTATTATAGGTTATTAGTTTTGAAATATATTGGCATTTTCTAGGGTTTTGTTAGTTTAGAATTTTCAATATTATTTTTATTAGCTTCTAATTTTCTGGGTTCTATTGGTTTAAGAAGAATAAATTTAGAAGCAACTCTGAAAACTTATAGACCACATTCTACTCTTGGATTGTAATAAACTATATAGGTTTAGTTTAAAAACTTAGTAATTATCCATATGATAAAACTAAGTATGTGGCATGGTAATGATTTAAAAACTTACAAAAAGAAGGATCGCCATGGTAATACAACCCAATTCCTTAAAATTGACCTTCAATATAATATGGCCTATTATATAGGGACGTATAAGGAATACCTGTTAATATACCTTTTAAGCTTATAAGGTTTATCTTGTTGAGTTTGGAAGGTAGGAGGATTCTAGTGGTAGAGATGAAATTTGAGTGTAGTGTTTCCTACTTCTGTGATGCAAAAGTAGTGATGCTGTAATGACAAAGTGATTGATAGCATGATTTAAACTAATGATGCACATCGATGCAGTGGCTATTACGCAAATAATGGTCTATTATGTAACAGCTACTTTGAATTCATATATGGATATTACTTGGTTCTATACTTGTGCAATTATGTGGAATATATACAGAATAAAGAGACATTGCTGCAGTTGTTGAATGCTAAACTCTGTAGAATGATTTTTTAATTCATTTGGCATTCTTTGATTCTTAACTATTATGAAATTATGAAAAAGTAAGAGCTAGTAGAGGCCGCACTCGGGCTAGGATAGCGATTCCCCCCTAAAGGGAACATTATTTTAGTACCCTCGCTCTCGAACTCATTTATGGTACAAGTAGACCAATTTGGGCATGGGTAAACTTATGATTCATGCTAAATATCCCTTGAAATCTACTTGGGAGAAAGGCATGAACGAGGTTTATGAGTTTTCCTAAAATTCATTGGCGACTCCTTATTAGTTTCTTACAAAAAAGCGTAATGATAGAATTAATTCTAATTCAAGGTCTCCCAAACAGTCAGGAATTCAAATCCTAACACATCTTCAAAAGTGTAAAATTCTAGTCTTTTAAAGGGCCTTGGGCATAGAAAAAGTGGGATCCTCAATGACGGGCTACCCTCCTCACAGTGGTTACAAGATTAGCTTTTAGTTATGGTTCAAGGTTTCCAACTTAGGTTACCTATGAGTTGTAACGATGGCTAACTTGGATAATCTCTAGTTAGAGGGCGAGACTTGAATGCATAATATCTTCCTTTTTCACAAGAATAAAAGCCAAATAAGCAACATTGCATCATTCATAATCATAGCACACTTTAACCATTGGGATTGGCTCATTGACTAGGGGTCGCCAACACTAGGGTTCTATCCCAAAATCAATAACAATCATCCCACCCATATCGCCAACAAAATGTTTGGAGAACCATGCCATGGGTCAACACGTTGAGTGATTGATTCATGCATCGTTCTTAAGATATGGTTCCTTTGGACACCCAACCCTTGACTATAGAACGACATTATATGCTTTGACGGTTCATTTTATGTGCTTATGTGACTACATGACTATGTGCTTATATGCCTTGTGTCTAGTTTGATAAAATTCCAACTTGTTACCTAGAGAAATTAAAAAAATTTGCAAAAAAAATAAAATAAAAATATAGTAGTTCAACAAAAAAAAAAAAAACAAAAAAAAAAGAAGTCGAACCTGCAAGGTGGTGCCCGCAACTGTCAAAGTTGCGCGCCCTCTCCAAGCGCAAGTCCAGAAGTTGCACGTGGCTCTTCCGCGCAACTCAGAGTCCTGCGCGCGCCCACTGTTCAACGTTAACTTTGACTCATTACGAGCAATGTTATACGGACAAAACGGTATTGCCGCTTCAAGGTTAATCGTTGAGTAGGTGCTAATAATAGCTCTTTGGCTAACAACGTTGTTTAACTTAGTTGCTTTTACTTTGTTTGTATTTTCTTTGTTTTTTTTAAAAAAGAAATTCCAACAAAAAATGTCTTTTAATCGTTTTCTTTTTCTTTTTCTTTTTAAATTTTTTTTTCCAAAAACATGTCTTCTATCTTTCTCTTATTTTCAAAATTCAAAAAAATCTTGTGTTATCCTTAATTTTCGCAAAAAAAATAAAAAAAGAGTGCGTTATCTTCTATTTTCGCAAATGCAAAAAAAAAAAAAAAAAAAAAAGCATGCGGCAAGCGCTACTCTCAAAGTTTCACTCTCCACCTTAGCACAAGACGGAAAATAGCGCGCGATACTGTTTTCAATCATAATGATTCTTTTACGTACATTTTAATTGATATAATGGCATTACCTGTTATACAGTTCGTCATTAGAAGTTCGCATCCCTTAATAGGACATCATCAATATTCCCTCTCCTAAACGTGCCTATTTTTCATGGTCATCATCTTTAAGTTGTAATTAATTAACCTTTATTTAAGAGTATAATTTATTTAACTCTTCTATGGCTTAAAAAGAAAATCCCGAGAACCTTACTTGGGATAATTGCCTCACAAAAAAAAAAAAAAAAAAAATACTCTTCTAAAAAATAGAGTATGATACAAAAAGAAAAACTCAAAAAATAAGAGGGAATGATGAATAATAAATCCAAGAAAATGATTTAATTATTTCTTGGATTTTACGTGCAGAGGCAACCATTCTATTTAAACCAATAGTTATTATTCCTTAAAGATGAGCAATATGAGAATCTTATGAAAAATAAAATAAATAAAGATCTCTATTTAAATCTAAATGATCAACAAATACCACATTCTAGTATATTAATCATTTTAAGGAGTTTATTAGGGTTGATTAATATTTCTAAAAATTTGATGAGCTTTTTTAATCTAACTTCCCTTTTGATTCTGTTCTACCTCTTTCGAAAACAGTTCACCTAAAGTGAAATCCTTAGATGATTACTTTGTTAGAGTCAACATAAATCATGACATTCCATTAATGATTGTTCGTGAATTTATTGACATTTTTCATTAACAAACTTGCTTAAAGTGAATTTGTATTACAAGGATTAAAATTAAAAAAAAAAGAAACTAATCATTTTGACTTCGGTTCATTGTTTGAATGCTTGGCACAAAAGTTCTGAAGTGTACGCGCTGAATTTCTCGTGATACACAATTGTAGATCATATTCCACATTCGCATCCGAGTCCAATCATGGGTGAAAATGCAGCTTTGGAGAAACTTAGAGAGGAACTCCAAAACATAAAGGCCCTATGAGAAGAAGAAGCCCAAATGAAGGCTCATAGGAAAGCAGAAAAGGCTAAAATAAAAGTAGAGAAAGAAAAAGGAAAAATTCTGCAAGAAAAATTAAGAGCCGTCCTTCGAGCTAGCTCAGGGACTAAGTTCTTCAATTATGAGCTTGCACCACAACTTAGTGGCAAGACTCTCCTAGAAAAGTTCTTAACTATGGATTTACCAATCTTTAAGGTTACGGACAATCCTAGGACTCACGTACTGAGCTTTCTTATAATGATGGCATTGAAAAGGGTCGAGCATAGCTTATATGCATGTACTTTCCCTTTTTCATTGGACCCAACTGCTAGATCATGGTTTTATAACCTCGATGCAAAACAAACTTCCACTTGGAAGGACATTGTAAAAGCGTTTCTAGCCCAATATGGAGATAACATCGAGCTCACAACTACCTTGCGTGATCTTGAATTACTCAAGCATGGGAAGAAGAATGCTTCATTGACTTCTTTTTTAGGTGGCGATCAAAACTTTCTCTTCTTTCACAAGGACCTTCGAATCATGAACTTGTCCCAAAGTTAGACAATATGTCTCCAACATACAAGTGCCTTTTATAATACCTTGGTTTAGACACATTTCGTAAATTCTATACCGTGGGAACATTGATTGAGAGGGACTTGATAAATGAAACCATGAATCATATCGTTGGACTAGATTTATAGAGGATCTCACCTGCGTTGGAAACAATTCAAGATGTAGCACCCTAGGTTTTGTTTTGTTTCTATCCTTTTTGTTTTCTTTATGCTGGACTAAGAGATTCATGCTGTCAAATCTACTTATTATGTACTCTCATTAATTAATGAATAAAAATTATTTTTTCAAGTACGTCTATCTTATTTTCTTTTCAATCACTTTGTTATTATTAGCTCGAATTAAATGATATACACATACAAACATGCAATATCAAAAAAGGCATACGTGCTCAATACTTTAAGAATCTTGATGAGCTTTGGCTTACAAGATTTATCGAATGAAAAGAGGTCCATCTTTTGTCCCACTAAGATGGGATATGATGAATACACTTACACAGGAGGCAACTTGAAACTCCATGAAAATGATCCCATGTGTTTAACCATAGAATAAATCCATCTTTTTGGCATCCCTTTTAAGCCTCGTCAATTGAGCCTTCACTAGTAGAAAAACTTAAATGAGCACCGCCAAATGCGCATCGGTGAGGAAAAAAACAGGCGGGATTGAGCGAAAGAGTTTTCGTGCCGATTCTTACCAAACAGGTGCGCAAAATTAGTTAATCGCACCGGTTCTAACCAAACTAGTGCGGGAAATGAGTTAATCGCACCGGATCGGTTCGAACCGGAGCGAAAGCTTTTGTTAAATAAAAAAACCACGGTCTGTATATATACTCTTTCTTTCTCTTTCATTTCCTCGATCTTTCCTCCTCTCTCATCTGCCTCCCTCTCTCCTCCATTGAAGCGTACTCGAAATTCTCAATTGAAGAACCAAGCATAACCACCATCGCCGCCGCCTTCAATTTTTCCTTCTATTTCCCCTCTTCCTTCTTATCTCTCTATTCTCTCTCCTCTCTCCTCAAACAAACCCTAATCTACTGAAGAAATTGTCCTTGAACGACCTGTCGCCCTCCTTCAAAAACCGGCGTCAATTCGAACCAAGGACAACCATCATCGCCGTCGCCGTCTATTTCTTGAATCTACAATATTGGAGGTTAGGGTTTCTAGGTGCATCTATTTTGAATCAATTCGATGTGCATGCGTCTTCAACAACAACAAATTCGAATCAATTTCGAACCAAAAATCAGAAATTCGAGGTTAGGGTTTTTGGGTTATTTAGCTTTGCGTTATATTTTGGTCTTTTGGTCCAATTATTCATGTTAAATGCTTTGAAATTTTAGGCTTAATTGATGTAACATTGTTCGAAATTTGTTGAAGATGGCTTGAGAAACTAATACCAACAACAATGGATGTAACAACACTTTTAATGAAGATAAGAAGCCTACTCCTGATCAATCTACTCATATCAATCTCAAGGTTAAAGGTCAGGTAATTTTTTTTAATTTTTTTTGGTGATTCTTTTGATTTTTCTGTGAATTTTATTTTGCTTTTTTAGGATTTTTGTGTCAATTTTGTATTTTCTTAGGTTAAAGGATTTTTGTGTTAATTTTCTGTGAAATTGTTGCTGGTTTAAATGATTTGATGAAATTAATTATGCGATTTTGATGTTTTTGAATCATTTTATGACAATGCATGCATATTTAAAAAGAATGTTAATGTTGTGGAAATTGGGCATTTTTTTGGTTGATTTGGGTGAATTGGGATTTTCGATGGTGAATATGTTTGTGTACAGACTAGTACAATAAATGTTTAAAATGAACTTCCTAAGGTTGAATGCGCTTGATCTCTTAAGCTACTTTAAGATATGTTTCATGATAGGATAGTGTGCATTGGTAAACTGCCAAATAGGGGAAGTTGAGGCACTAGCCAAGTGTTAGAAATCCCAACTCTGACTAACAACTAATTTCAATC